CAACGATTCTGTAATTATTGCCTTTAAATTCACCCCGTGACCACTTCATCCCATTTACACAAATATATTGGAGAAGATATTAGTGCATGATGAAGAATAAACACAAATTATAACCATAGATAGTTTGCTTGACTCTGAAGAGGCTGTTGGTCTTTACTCATGGAGTTTATTTAGTTGTATCTTCTTTCTGCTTTTGTTCTATTAGAATTTCCTTGCAAAATCTCTCACTCACTTCCTATTGTATCATTAGATATGTGCAATATTCTTGAGTTTTAGGTGAGAATGAAAAGGATATTAATAGTTCAGGTTGCTGGAGAAGGACGGAACACTATTTACGAAAGGCTATTTATTTACTAGAATCTCATGAGTAATGTTAACTAATTTGTATCGATTGGGGTTTATTTCTCACCTTCTCTTTTTAAGGGGTTTCCTTTTGCCTCCCTTCATCGCTAGAAGTGACCGAAGGAAGTTAATAGTTTTCTCATCAGAATATTGCCTGTCCAAATAGAGTGATGAATGAAGAGACGCTTAACTGTTATTATTGCTTAAGTGACGTCTCACGGACAGGCTACGTCTCCAGACCCTTTTTATATCTCTCTGATTGTTCTTTCCTTTTATGTTTATTTGACCAGCATTTGTTTACTATTTACTTCTTCCTCACTGACATTCGATCTTCTCTAACTCTGTTATCTGTTACTGTGGCTTTAATCATTTGATTAACATTTTCCCCTTTCCATTCCCATGCTCTATCTTGGTGAGCTAGCAAACGTTTAATTTAGAAAAAATATGGAAGTGATAGATAGGAGGACATCATTATTTGTTTCTATTAATACTACTTCACGAAGGTATACCGTGTGCTTTTATCACACTCTCTCACAACCAAAGAGAGGATGTTCATCTGGTCTTCATCACCCCTCACCCTTTTTTCTATTACTACAAACTAGCTGGTTCTTTCAGGGTGGGGCATGCCAAGACATTCCTTTCTACTCTTGGGATTGCACCAAAAGAGTCCATGTGCAACAATGAGCCGTTCTGCTCTTGAAGGCGCGCGGCGGCACATTGTACGTAATCTTCCCTGCCACGGGGGGGGGGCGGGAGGGGGGGTTCCTTTCCTTTTGCCTTCTGAGAAGAAGGCAAAAGGAGACCACAAAGAAAGACACGCCATAGGCCGGCGGCAAATCCCCTTCTGCCCAAGTGTTCACGAGAACCCCGCCCCCCCCCCCACCCCCTAAAAAAGAAGAAGAAAGAAGACAAAAAAAAAAAAAAAACAAGCACACCAACAAACAAACAAGCAAACAAGCAAACAAGCAAGCTAACAAGCAAGCTAAACAAGCAGCCAAGCAAGCAAAAAAAAACAAGCAAGCAAGAAAGCAAGAAAGCAAGAAAGCAAGAAAGCAAGCAAGCAAGCAAACAAGCAAACAGGCAAACAAGCAAACAAGCAAACAAGCAAACACACACGCCTCCTTTAAGTCACTTTCCCGCGGTTGTGAGCGCGACCAACTTTCGACTCCCAACCCCCAAACCCGCAAACCTTTCCGCCACCAGCCCCCAACCCACCACCCCCCACCACCAGTCCGCCAGCCCACCCCCAGCCCACCACCCCCAGCCCACCACCCCCAGCCCACCACCCCCACCCCACCTCCACCCCACCACGACCCCCAGCCCACCCCGACCCCACCCCCAGCCCACCTCCACCACAACCCCACCCCCCACACCCGGGTCAGGCGTCTTCATCTCCGCCGCGAAGGCCTTGGCCGCCTCCGCCTGCGCGGCGTCCTCTTGCTGCGCCTTCTGCGCCGCCAAGGCCACCGCCTCGGGAGAGGTCACCTTGGAGTAGCTCGGCAGCGCGCGCGGAGGGGCGAGAGAAGTACTGATACAGAGGTGTGAAATCCGAGAAAAAAAACCTAGTGATTCGTTCTTAGCAAAAAGAAGCTCTGCACTTGCTGCTGCGATTGGTAGGGAATAACCCAGATTGAGGTTTGGAACCCACTTGCTAGAATCCATTTAGGGCCACCAGATTCGTTTGTGTTCTTGACGCCATGGCTCTTCTTGACACCGCTTCCCCCGAATGGTTTCCTGGAAAAAGCAATGGTTTCTCTTGAACGGTAAGTGCAAAGTCATGTGCAACCTGTGGTCATTGGTGACCGTTACCCTTCTGCCCAACAACCTTGACTGTTGCAGGTAAGTGGGCAAACATGCATTCTACCAAGACGCCAAAGATTACAGGTCCAATCCAATAGCATTCAAGCAATGGGGGCTGGGAACCCCTCACAAAAATGAAGAGCTGTGTCTGCAAACCAGCCATTGGCTCATCTTCGGCTTAGTATTGCAGATTACAAACATGGCTATAACTGGGCTAACTTGGATGAGTCCCCATGGCCACGACCTACCAGGTAGCTTGAACACCCGAGAAGAGGGTGTGTCCCTAAATGAGGCCCCTAAAATCAGTCAGCTCCCCCTTTACCAGTTGAAAAAAGAACACCTGGCGTACAGGCTGTGGCTAGGTATGATCAGCCGTTCATCTAGAGGGTCTGGAAAATCCATCCGCAGCTCCCCTAAAATCACTGGGCTCTTTCCTGGCGGGGTCAAAAACACCCCGAAAACAGGGCGCCATCCCCGAACCCGTCGCCGGATTACAACCGGCTCCCACGAGCTGAAGCTACTCCGAGCCGCTGAGGACTTCTGGGCCGCCTGCTGCGCCTCCAGCTGCGCCTTCTGCTGCTCCGCCTTCACGGCGGCGGCCGCCTCCGCGCGCAGGGCCTCCGCCTTGGCCAGCTCCGACTCCACCTGCCATGGTCCCTACATCAGCCCAGAGGACAAAAGGACCCGCACTTTGAAGCTGCCCAACCAAGACATAAAGGGCACCCTGAGGAATACGCAGCTTCTGACTGGTGGTTTAGATGGGGTTGGAGTTGTTTCATTTGGGGTCACTGTCCTGCCATGGTCTGTGGTTGTGAATGGCGGGTGCAACCGGTGGCAACAAAAATGCAACCAGCTCTTCTGGGCTGATTCCCATGGTTTTGGTGGAGGCCATGTTGGCCGGCGAAATGCCGGTGACCTCTGATCTCGTACCTTGGAAATAATTCGTCGAAAAGGGGACCCTCGACAAATTGGTTCTCAGTAAGGAAAATACTTTTGTGGAATGAATCGCTTCGGATCACCTTGCACAGAAACTGCAAGGGATGGTTTCTAGGGGCATTCCCTCATTCCCTTCTGAGAAACAATAAAGACACAAATCAATCCTTTACAATGTTTTTTGGGATGCAGGAATCTACCTTCAGGACCCCAACACCATCGAGTCGCGAGGGGATTTCGAGTCCTCGAGGGATTGGGAAACAAAGGAAACATGCATCTGCAAACTGTCCAATGCCAAAGCCAAGCGCGCTTTATCCTCAGGTGAGCTCGCCATAAAATAGGACATGTCATAGACATCTCCAGGGGTCGAAATCCTGCCTCCCTGAATTTCATTTCGAGGGGGGGGGGCTCCGCATTGACCCCCAACCAGTTCTTTGGGTTCACAAACTGTACCTAAAAGCTAAGATGGAGGCAAAACACAGATCAACTGGGGGTGGAAACAGCGAACGGGCCTTGCTCTTGTCCGACTCCACCTCCGCGGGCACCGTCCTCTCTGGCGCCTCTGCAGTCTTTTCTGGCGCCGGCTCTTCCGTTTTCTCCGCCTCCTTCACCTCCGCTGCTGGCGTGTCCTGCAAACGGCACATACAAATGGCACACGCAACAGCCCCCCGCCCAGATCCAGCAAGAAATTCAGACCGCCTAAGCGCAAACTGGTTTGAAGTCCGTCCTCGTGCCAGGCCTTCTGACACCACAAGGCCAAGAGCATCACCCACCGCCCCCGGAACCGGACCGGAACCCTCCACAGATCCGACCCAAAACCGCCCACCCACGTTTGGTGGTTGGAGCCCGCAGAAAAGACAAAAGCCCAGGTTGCATCATATACCACCAGCCTCGAACTTTTCGGAACCCTGCCTGAAAGCTGCTCGGAACCGCACAGCTCATTAGGGCAGATGTCAAAGCTTTCAGCTGGGGAAAAAGCAGTGTTGTTCAATCCCCGCTCCCGAAAATACATACAGCAAGTAGTCCACATCCAAGGTCCCCCCACATATTGCCTGGCTTGCCTTTACCTAAATGAAGCGTAGTTTGATCAATGTCCCACCCAAACGCTTGGATTAAATTCCTTTCTTTGTTCATCATTTTAATTAAGGGCAAAGGTGTAAGATGGTAGTTGACCCAAGTAGTGAGAGGTGGCTTTTTTCGTAGGGCTGGTTTTTCTTAGGGCTGGCAACATCACCAGCCGACTGCTAAACCCAAAGCCAACCAACCAACCCACCAACCAACCAGGCGGACCAGCCATAGTAAAACCGGTCACCCTGAGCGTGCACATCTTGTGTTTCTATGGCCTGTGCTCAGAGAGAAAAACAGAACGAACACAAAAAATAAAAAAGGAACTCCAAAAGGAAATCAGAAGGAACGAAGTCACAGGTCCCAAAGTTGTTGGCAAAATTGTGCTTAAAAGCTTACTGATTTGTAAAGACAATTCCATTGGAAACGAAATGCTGTGCAACATGTTTTGCATAGAATTTGATAAAGATATTAAGTAGAACTCAGAAGGACAGAATTCAGAGGTTGGTCCGAAAACACCGTAAAACAGAGTGTGGTGTAGCGTTGTTGGTACTCAATGCACATCTCCACCAACGGTCGCTCTCTAAAAACCCATTAGAATATAAATAGGTTTTAATAGGACATACTTGTTCCGAATCCTGCTGGCAATTGTATCTTAAATTTAGAGTTTGGCCAGAATTCCTTGCCCAATAGAACCTTACAATTCAATTAGAGGTTAAAGTCAAATTGTAATGAAAGAATCCATCACAATATATATGTCTGAACTATAATTAATCCATTTTAAAACAGAATTGACACAGGATGTTCTTTCCAACCAAATGTCTTTGCAAAACTTAAAACAATTAACATTTAAACACAATTTATTCAAGCAAAGTCAACTCGACATTCCATTCAAAATGCGAAAATCGCACGCTCACAGAGTCCCGCCCTCTAAAAACAAGAGCCCTAGTAACACCTGCTCCCCTCCCCTCCCCCAAGTACGAGCAACAAGAAAAAACACAAAACGCACTCGGCTCCTGCGGCTCCTCGTAGCCCCACTCGTTGAACCTGGCCCTCTTCTTCGCCTTTGCCTCCCGCTCCACCGTCGTCGTTGCGGCGGGGCCAGCTTTGCTCTGGCGCATCCGGGCGCGCGTCTTCAAGGCCACCTCCTGTGGTGCACTTGGACCCAGGCAAAGCCAAAGGAAAATCTAGGTAACCGAGGAGAAAGAGAAAAAGGAAAGAAACCAAAGAGAACATCAAAGGACAAATGAAAGGACAATTCCAAAGTACCTGGCACCTGGTAAAAGAAAACCAACGGAAGTCGTTTGAAGTCGTTCATTTTGCCCCAGTTTGGCCATCTTTTTCGGAAAGGCTTGGAGAAACCAAAACCCAGTCCTTCTTTTCCACCCCCCGGCGGACCCGAGACAAGGCCATGGCGGGAGTCTCCAGAGGATGCAGGAAGGCCACCAACTCCTCCAAGATGTCAATGACCTTCGCTTCATCCTCCTCAGCACATCCCAAAAAATCATAAGGGCGAGGGGGGTAGAGGGTCCCCCAATTCCATTTCTAAGGGGTGGGAATCTCAGCACCCTGACTTGACCCATTGGGTTCCAACAAATGGTTTGATCGAAATCAAAGGCGCCAAAAACACACATGATCGTCCTTTGGCACAATCGGAACCAATTCGCGTACTAGACATTGTTGAGAGGATGGTCTGGCGGGGACGATTTGAGGAACGCCTGCATCCTTGCAACCAAGAACCCCGAAGCTGTCAAAAGGAGTTGGAAGTTTGACCTCAGGTTGCTTGAACAAAGGCGCTAGTTTCCACTTTACGGGCCAGTTCCTGGCTGTCCAAACACATGCCCCGCCCAACACCTGGAAATCCAATGCGTCCTTGTCCTCTGCCTCCGCCTCTTCCGGCTTCATCTCCGTCTCCTTGTCCTCCTTCTTGTCCTCTTCGCCCTCTTCTTTGTCCTCCTCCTCCTCGTAAGAGCAAGTTCAACTCCACAACACCTCCGTGATGTTCACTGGATCTTCTGGCTCTAGAAAGAGAAATCTAATGAGGCCCTGCAAAAGGCTTTTAGATGAATTCAACCCCCCCCCCTCCCCCTGTCACCACAATTCAAAGTCACTGAAAACCCCTGAAAACGCATGATTCATCAAAGGGGATGCCGGTATGTATGACTGAACGCCCCAGATAGTCCTCACCCAGGGAACTCGTCGACATTGCCCTCCCAAGCCCGACGTTGTGAGAGGAAGGGGATGACATGGGGAAATGGGGTATACAGTATACGCTTGAACAACTGAGATGCTTGGTTGATTAGTTCACTTTTTAGGGGGTCAGGCTTGGCTTCCTCTTGGCATCATCAAACATTTTGGTTGCTCTTATTTGGCACCCAGGCAACCTGGGAGGGGTAAACCTCTCTCCCCTGATTATTCCGGCAAGTCCTCCTCGCCCTCAGAGTCCGGCCCCAGATTCTTCGCCATGGCCGAGATGCGGTTGGCCGCAGTGCTCAGGGCCTGCCATTCAGACTCCGCGCGGCGCCAAATGGATCCGGGCCGGAAGATGGAAACGAAGCAGACAAAGCGGCCAGAAATTCATGACGAGGCCATCTCTGGCACCAGACCCGGCAAGTTGACTAGTTGACCGCAGGCTGTGTCTCACCCAATCGTGGTGCAAGACCCCCGCCCAAAAAAAAAAAAAAAAAAAACGTCTCACTCAATCGTGGTTTATCGTCTTGAAAAAACCCACCGCTCGGCCGCGTTTCGCTTCAAGCGCCTTGTTCTGCTTCTCGGCGGCGCGGAAGGTGGCGGTGCGCTCGGCCTGGTCCACGGTGTCCAGCCAAGCGTCCGTGACCTTCTTCTCCTCGTCCTGCCATGCGCCGTTTTTTGAGACTTGGTACCCTTTTCGGGTGGTTTAAAGGGAAACCAGACAGTTTCCGGCTGGATATCCTCGAAGAGGTTGTGGATAGAATTCGGAAAACCATGTTATTTGGAGGGATTCTTGCTGAAATTCCTACATATTTATTTGAGGCATTCATAAACCAATGGCTGAATCATCGGTGTTCCAGTGAAAAGGAGATGCTTCACTTTTTGAGGAAACACCCGCCCCCCCCAACCAAAAGGAAGAAAAGCAGAAAGTTCCATAGTACAAAAACTATTTCCAATTATCGCTGTGCATAGCTTGAAGATCAGGCAGCGTACGCGGATCGTTTCGGCATGTGTTCGGGAAATATTGTGAGATATCCTTTTTGCTACTGCGCGCGTGTTCATGAATATCGAGTGTATCCGGGGCCAACCCAGGAAGCAGCCTGAGTAATAAGCACCTCTGAAACATGCTCTCTCTGGGCATCCGGACTTTGCAGCGGATGGGGTGCCAGGATCCGTGGCAAAACTCGGGGTGCCCAAACCATCATCTGTTCATAATATAAAACCCTTAAGAAAACAAACAATCACAAAAGGGGATACTCCAGAAAAGCCCCTAATCTCGTTGATCTGACTGTTTTGGGGTGTCTTTGATGTCAAGAGTGGCTGGAGAAACCAGTCAATGAACAAATCCGTTCAGCTAACATCCCCACTACCTGGAGCATTCATCTTCCAAATAAGAGGTCTTTGGAGATTCAACCTACTGGGTCGTCATCGCGGTTACATGTCAACTTACCAAAGGGGACACCTTTTTGGATGGTTTGCAGGAAAACCAAGAGACATCTTATGCCAAAATTGGGGAACATGGTTTTCCGCTAGCTATTTGGTGAGTGTGGGGGCGGGGGGGGGCCATGTGGTCACGCAAGACTCTCATCCAACCAATACTCGAAATCTATTCTGAAGTTTTGGCAATACAAATTTAGCATTTGCAACACTAGATTAAGTGTTGGGAGTCTGAGATAAAGTATTGGCAATCCTAAACTCAGCATGGGCAACACTAAATCAAGAAGTAACAAGCCCAAGCCCAACCCGGCCACCACCCCCCCTGCAATGTCCCTTAAAACGAGTCAACATGAAATGTCGTTTCGGGCGGAGAGTCACATTCACAAGGTGCAACATTGAGGGGCAAACAATGGCAAACAACTCGGCTAAGTCTACCGGAATAGGGCTTGGCCTCCGACTGGCTTTGTTCTGGCAAACCCCATTTGCCTTACCGCCCCATAGCCGAGCAAAGGTGGCCAAGTAGAATCCCTCGGCGCAAATAGGGGTGGGGGTCCGGCGTCCAAGTTGCATCTCCCCCTCCTTGTTCAGCACGTAGAAGCCACTCTCGTCGAAGTGCCCCTCGCGCATCTCGCGACGCATGTTGAAGGGCTCAAGCCGGATTCCGTCGTCGATGCTGTTCAGGGGGTCATCCTCATCGACACCTCGGATCTCCAAACCTCCAAAGTGTGCCAGGGGGTGCATGTGTTCAACTCCACCATGGATGTCGGAAACAGATATGCAGCCACCCAACAATGCAAAGCCAAACGAAACAAGCAGTGGTCGCAAAGCAATATGCAAAGCCAAGCCCAAAGCAAAGCAAAGCCAAAGCAAAGCCAAAAGCAAAAGCAAGGCAAGCGAAGCGCGTACGCACAGCAGGCAAACAAACGAGCAAGCAAGCAAGCCAGCAAGCAAGCAAGGGCAGAAAGCGAAGCGGCAAAACGGGGCATTGCCAAATCAAGGCGTGCCACTGAGCATGCAAAGAAAAGCAGGCGGAGGGAAGGAAGGAAGGAAGGAAGGAAGGAAGGAAGGAAGGAAGGAAGGAAGGAAGGAAGGAAGGAAGGAAGGAAGGAAGGAAGGAAGGAAGGAAGGAAGGAAGGAAGGAAGGAAGGAAGGAAGGAAGGAAGGAAGGGGAGGGAGGGAGGGAAGGAAGGAAGGAAGGAAGGAAGGAAGGAAGGAAGGAAGGAGGAATGCTGCCGCCAAAGCAGGAGCCAAGAAAAGAAAGCCAGAAACCAAGGCCAAGAACTGCAAAGGAGATTGAACAAAAAATCAACGTATTAAACCTCCTCGGAATAGCCAAATCGATCAAACATGTTCGAAATGCGGGAAACACTGCAAACAAAACAAGGGAACCCCAGAATTCCAATACTCATTCAGCCCAAACAAAAATAAAAGCATCGTCCAGGCCAGGCGCCCTCATTCTCCCGGATGTCCTTGAAGGTCTTGACCCCCTTCCGCGCCTGAGCCCGCTGGGCCCTCAAGATCTCGAAGTTGGACTCCGCCTCCACCGAGTGCCCGTCCAGCTCCTCGCCAACTGCGGCTTCCGCGGAGCGGGTGCCCCACACCCCAAGGACTCCGAGAACCGGCGAGCGGATCCAGGCAGCGGAGTTGTTTTGTGAGCCAAGAGCCATGGTCAAGCTTACTTCATTTTCTTCCGACATGACATGTGAACACTTGGACTCGCATTCTGGCGTTGGTGAAGTTTAGTCCCCAACTGTGGCTCCCGAATGAGCGGTGCCGAAAACCAGCTGCATCAAACCCCCTACTGACGAACCACTTTTGCGATGCTTTTCGCGGCCGCAAGTTTCACTTTCGCAGGCAAGTGACTCCGTAAAGGATCGCTCGGTGGCTGTGCCTACAAGGAAGCAAAGCTTCCAGGATGTCGGAATCCAATCGTCATGGGCCAAGTGGAGCTTTTGCGGAGATTCGCGGAATTTGCCTGCATTTTTGGACTTGACGCTATCCACAATGACCGGCACAGCCCACCCTCACGAGCCCGAAATGGACGTCACGCCCGAGTCACGCCCTGCGTGATAGCTTCTGCGAGGCCTTGTTAGGAGAGGGTTTTGGCGCTGCTCAAATATAGCATAGACTGACGGACATGTTGACCAAACCTCATTCACACACCTGCTGCAAAAGGCACCAAACAACTGTTTTCAGGTTGAAGGGGAAACAGCCCAAAGTGATTTTCGCCAAGTAGATGGCATGACCCTTTCTGTCCGCAGGTAAGGTGATGATAATGCGGAGTTGAGAGAACTCTGCCTTCTAGGTTCGCCCCCCATGTATAGGCGCAACCTACCTGTGACAATCTTAGTGGCCTGCCAGCATGCTTTCCCTGTTCCACACAACGAGACATCTATGAGGGTTCCTCGGTGAATTGACCAGGAACAGTCCGAAATGTTTGCTTGCCAATAAAATGGTCAAGACCACTCTAGAGTGACTAAAAAGCCAAGAACCCAGCAAGTGAGCTTGTGCCCCATTTAACCCCACCAACTCAAAAGGGGGAAGTCTGCGAGTTTGGCTCGAAAAGCCACTCCTGGAGGCGCTTGGCGGTGTCCGAATTGCCCTTGGCCTTGCCCTTGCCCTTGCCTGCGGGGAGTTAGCCTAAGAAACCCAAAGGCGAAGACTCCCCCCCAGAAAATCAGAGAACAGCCCTTCAACTAATTGACTGGAAGACAATGTTCCCTTTAAAGGGACCATTTCCCGAACGTCAGGTTCCATGGTGATTGGTGGAAGGATATTTGCATTATCTCGATTTGTTAAGTGCAGAAAGCAATGGCTCCAAACATCGCACCCCGGCCTCCACCTTTCTCCTTGGTCTTGGGTGCCATGAGCGCAGGTTCAAAACAAGCCCGCGGGGGTCTCAATTTCCTTTTGTGCAAAGATGGCACACCTTTGGAACCCACCAACTCGATCTATCCTTTTTGGGTTGGGGAAATCCAAGAGCTCCAAAAGCTGTGGGCTCGCTTGGTGTCACGTAGCTGGCGGGGTGCCCGTCGCATGTCTCGAGCCAATGCGGAAGGCAACAGCGGTCACTTCTTAGTGGATGGGGCAAACAAGTCATTGAGGAGAGTAAGACACATCTTGAACATGCACACATGTCCGAATTGTTGATCAGCGCAGCCTCAACCGATACAACTGGAGCAAATATGCTGTGCGATTGCATGGATTGCGAAGGGTAAACTACACCAAATGCTGGCACCCCTGGCAAAAAGAGCTAATCCTGTATGACGGCTGTGGAGATTATCATCCTTTCCGATGCCTTCAAACCAAGTTTATCCGGCTTTAGTTGCGCAAGCTGTCTCAATAGGTAGTTTCTTTGGCCCTCCAGAAGTTGCGAACCGGGCATGTCAATAAAAACAGTCGCCAAAGCTGCTGATCTAGACCAACCCTAACCACAAACCAAGCCTATATAAACAAACCCTGAACCGACCCCGAACCAACCCTAGGCCAATCCTAGAGCTTTTGCCGGAAGTGCCAAATGGCAATCTAAGCAGACGGATAGGCATGCTTCCGGGCAACACGTAGCCCCGACGCAAACAAACCAGAAGCATGCGTCTTAGACCAAACTGGGGCCTCTTTGTGTGCTAAGCTGCCCTGAACCCAGAAAGCCATGTAAAGGCCAGCGTCAAAGCACAAGTTGCAAGCTAGCCTTGCCACTGCAGCAAACCCACGGCCCAAATACACACCAACCCCAGACGCAGCCAACACTACTTGCCCACAGGGTAGCACACAAACAAAAGGCCACACAATTTCGCAAATCACAGTCAACTTACCAAGCAGCATGAAGCCAGCATCACACGAGCGTAGCACTATGCCTGGCTAGGGCCTAGGGCACAACAGTGGGAACGTGACCGCACGGTACTGCGCTCGCGCCCTGCTCTCGTCTTGCTAGCGGAAAACAGCTGCCTTTGCCAACGTGCAACAAGCGGATCAAACAGTAGAAGCAACATTCGTGACCACATGTCAGCACTTGAGGTTCATGACTTGGCTGCCATCGACAGCTTCAGAACCGTGCTTTCGCGCGGGCATCACCCCTGAAAACGGTGCAAAACGGCTCCGTGCACGCATGGGAGCTCAGAACGGTTCTGAACCAAGATGGGTTAGCGCACGCCCGCAACTTGAACGGTTCAGAACGGCTCAGGCCTCCGCACTTTTAAGGAACGGTTCAGAACGGTTCCTGCCTTCGTTTGAGTTGTCAATCCGCCATTTCAGTAACTTCGTTTGCACAAAAAAGCTTGCGCGTTTGGAAACCAAGGCAATTAGCGCTTGGCAATGGACGCCTTGATTTCCCTCCGCCGCGCCACCTGGGGCTCATGAGGAACAAACAATACAAGTTTTCTGGTACGTTATACTCTCGTTCAAAATGTTGCGACTGAGCGGCGCAAAAAAAGAAAGAAGAAAACAAGGCTATCTTGCCAGGACAGTCAGTGGGTGCGAGGAATCAACAGCGCCTTACTTCAGGATTAGGGAAGCGCGCCGCCTATTGGGTGAGTCGCTTGGCGCCGGACGAGTTTGCCGCTGATCATGCGAGGGCAACAGGCCCGAGAATATAAAGACGAAGCTGTCGCAGGCTGGGCCAAAAGCGCCAACTGCTAGCAACTGAGCTTGACCACTTGCGGCCTTGCCCGCTGACCACCCAGGAGCCGTTCTGAACCGAGTGCAGGCAGAAACATGTGTCCCAACCCTCTCCCCCCAAACAAACCTCAAGCACGGCATCTTCGAGGCAAGCGTCAATAGCTGCCTTCCGCATGGCAAATGCACCACAGCAGCAACTCTCGACCTGATCTAAGTGCCCACCAACATCCCCCCCCCCTCCGCGCAAAAATGCGAAAGCCCCAGGCCCACCTCGGACACCTCTGACAGCCTCAGAGCCAAGGGCTGCAGGCTGAGGCAAACCCATTTTAGACTTCCACCCGGGCTGCAATCCTATGTTTGTTTTTCAAAAAGCAGTTGAGGTGCTGGTGACCCTACGAGTGGATGGGCCAGAAGAAGTCTGGCTGAGCCGTTTCGGCTACCACAAAAAGTGTCTTCCCGACAGGTTGCTCATGTCCTGGAACTCAAGGAGTGCTTGTTTCCCCTTCAAACATCATCCCACTGATCTCTGCCAATCTCAAAACGGGAAAAAGGCTGGACAGTTTGGCCCCCTGCCCACGAAGATTAACTTTTGCTGCTTGGTGGGGGAACACACATTTTCCAAGAAATCCGCCGACATTGCTCGGCGTGTCGGATACCAAAGAGAGGACTATTGGATACCTAAGAGAGGATAGAGGAGATAACCCCCCCCTTAGTCCCCCCCCGGGATACATCAAATACGCATGGTTTTTCGGTCGCCCCCCCCCCGTCCGCGCGGCAATTTGATGACGTTCCACTAAACGTAGTCTTCGGGGAGCCGGTGTCGCAAAACAGGGGTCCCAGGCTCGATTCCCCCTGCCGGCTTTTTTGCTGGCTTGGGCTTCCTACATCCTTTTGCCGAAAATCTGGAAAACTCCATGTTTTTGGACGTCTTTCATACATTCATCCATTGCATTCATTTCATACATTACATTCATTACATTCCTTACATACATTACATACATACATACATACATACATACATACATATACATACATACATACATACATACATACATACATACATACATACATACATACATACATACATACATACATACATACATACATACATACATACATACATACATACATACATACATACATACATACATACATACATACATACATACATACATACATACATACATACATAACATACATACATACATACATACATACATACATACATACATACATACATACATACATACATACATTACATACATACATACATACATACATACATACATACATACATACATACATACATACATACATACATACATACATACATACATACATACATACATACATACATACATACATACATACATACATACATACATACATACATACATACATACATACATACATACATACATACATACATACATACATACATACATACATACATACATACATACATACATACATACATACATACATACATACATACATACATACATACATACATACATACATACATACATACATACATACATTACATACATACATACATACATACATACATACATACATACATACATACATACATACATACATACATACATACATACATACATACATGCATGCATGCATGCATTGCATTGCATTACATTACATTACGTTACGTTGAATTACATTACATTACATTACATTACATGCATACATTACATACATACATACACACATACATACATACATACATACATACATACATACATACATACATACATACATACAGACAGACAGACAGACAGACAGACAGACAGACAGACAGACAGATAGACAGACAGACAGACAGACAGACAGACATACACATATATGTATATATATATATGCATACATACATACCAGAGAGGGAGACTGGGCATGGAGAGGCTTGGGGGGATGGGGAGGATGGGGAGCAGAGGGAGGGAGAGAGGACGACAGAACACACAAGGGAGACAAGGGAGAGAGGCAGAAGGAGAAAAGGGAGAGGACAATGTCGGCGGACTGAGCTGGAGGCTCTAAA